GAACCCAGTGCCTCACACATGCTAGGCAAGTGAGCCACAACCCTAGCCACTTTACTGCATTTTTATTGTTGTTTGTTGTTGTTATTATTATTTGTGCTGTGGATCAAACCCAGAGCTTTTTGCATGCAAGGCAAGTGTTCCATCACTTAAGTATATCCCAGCCCCACAATTTTATTTTATAAACCGAGGAAGACGTGAAAGTCCAAAAGTTCTTTTGGACTGAGGTGAATAAATTATCCTGTCTAAAGGTGGTAAGAATGAGGTGTTTTAAATGGATTTGCCTGCTGCTTGGATATAATGTTATTTACTACAACATTTGTTCTAGTATTAGCCTTGTAGTTAGATTTTGAGTATGTACAGAAGTGGTATCTAGCAATATCATGAATTGAAATTTACATTGTCAGTATTTTAATAGTCGTTGGGGTTTGGGTGTAACTCAGTGGTAGAGTGTGAGCTTAACATGAGCATAACCCTGGGTTTAATCCCCCACACCAATAAGGGGAATAAAAATATTTTAATATTTGTTGTTTTTTTTTCCCATGATATTTTCCACTTTATCAGGACAAACCAAGTTTATCACCATGAGTTGGAGCTTCCTGACTCGCCTGCTAGAGGAGATTCACAACCATTCCACATTTGTAGGGAAGATCTGGCTCACTGTATTGATTGTGTTTCGGATTGTCCTAACAGCTGTAGGAGGAGAGTCCATCTATTATGATGAGCAAAGCAAATTTGTGTGCAACACAGAACAGCCAGGCTGTGAGAATGTCTGCTATGATGCCTTTGCACCACTCTCCCATGTGCGGTTCTGGGTGTTCCAGATCATTCTGGTGGCCACTCCCTCGGTGATGTACCTGGGCTACGCTATTCATAAGATTGCCAAAATGGAGCATGGTGAGGCGGACAAGAAGGCGGCTCGGAGCAAACCCTATGCTATGCGTTGGAAACAGCACCGGGCCCTGGAAGAAACAGAAGAGGACCATGAAGAGGATCCCATGATGTATCCAGAAATGGAATTAGAAAGTGAAAAAGAAAATAAAGAGCAGAGCCAACCGAAACCCAAGCATGATGGCCGACGACGGATTCGGGAGGATGGGCTCATGAAAATCTATGTACTACAGTTGCTGGCAAGGACCGTGTTTGAGGTGGGTTTTCTGATAGGGCAATATTTCCTGTATGGCTTCCAAGTCCATCCATTTTATGTGTGCAGCAGACTTCCTTGCCCTCATAAAATAGACTGCTTTATTTCTAGACCCACTGAAAAGACCATCTTCCTTCTGATAATGTATGGTGTTACAGGCCTCTGCCTATTGCTTAACATTTGGGAAATGCTTCATTTAGGGTTTGGGACCATTCGAGACTCACTAAACAGTAAAAGAAGGGAACTTGAAGATCCGGGTGCTTATAATTATCCTTTCACTTGGAATACACCATCTGCTCCCCCTGGCTATAACATTGCTGTCAAACCAGATCAAATCCAGTACACCGAATTGTCCAATGCTAAGATCGCCTATAAGCAAAACAAAGCCAACATCGCCCAGGAGCAGCAGTATGGCAGCCACGAGGAGCACCTCCCAGCTGATCTGGAGACTCTGCAGCGGGAGATCAGAATGGCTCAGGAACGCTTGGATCTAGCAATCCAGGCTTATAATCACCAAAACAACCCCCATGGTCCTCGCGAAAAAAAGGCCAAAGTGGGGTCCAAAGCTGGGTCCAACAAAAGCAGTGCTAGTAGCAAATCAGGGGATGGGAAGACCTCCGTCTGGATTTAATCTTTGCTGGGCTTAAAACTTGGGCTTTTCATAGTTTATGGTAAGCAACGGCTCACTGAATAATGACTTCCATTGAGTAAACATTTGGCTCTGGTTATCTTCAGGGATGCTGTTGGCTCATGATCCAAACTCAGGGGACTCTGAAGGTGGGGCTGGGATGAGTGGGGAAAGGGAAACACAGTGTTCCAGGGCACATGTTCTCAGCAATAATACAGTTGCAGAACTTTGCATTTGTGTCTTCCAGATCCAGAGAAGAACAGATATATTTAAATCATTCTTGTTGAACAGTTTTTGTATGTACAGTATTATGGTACATTTTTTTCTTTTTTTTTTTTTTTTTAGTATGAGAACTTTTTTGTATTTGTACATTGAACTGCTGTAGTTATACTTTTTTATATTAAAGGAAAAAAAATCCTTGTAAGTAATGCCTATTAGGCTAGTGTTATTACTTTGTTTAGCAAAATCTACCCTGGGTTTAGAGTTTTAATAGATGCTACATTCAATACAAGTGCCTCTCATGTTGCAGGGAACATTTCAATGGAGACTGAGGAGGAGATACCAGTTTTCTGTCTTAGAAAGGAAGACTACATTAGAAAGAGATTGAGATCTTCTCTCTTCTACCTGAGAAATCTGGGAATCTCAACTTTTATAACCAGAGCTGTAGCCATTCTTTGAAAACATGTTTCCAAAGGAAGTAAATAATTAGCTGCAGGATTTCTTCAAATTCCAAGCATTGCCAATATGTGCTTTGATGTTATATACATAAGTTCTTTCAAAAGACTGATATGCAGTGGTGTCCCCCATCTAGTAGCTACATTCAGTATAAGTGCCCAGGGGCAGTATGAAGCGCCTGGCTAGATTTTGGTGCTAAGCTGCTTGTCTCAGAGAGCTCAGTTGCGCCTGGGAAATGAGGCCTAATAGGATATTTAGCTGTGAACCCTTTTGATTGGCTTTAAGCCTCAATCCAGAAATCTGCCCATCTCTCTGGTTTCTTAAGCCAATAATGAATATTTTCCATACTTGTTAACATTAGAAATATAAAAATTCCCTTATAGACTAAGAATATTCAAAACTTCCTATACTGCAAATGGCAGAAGGCTTAAATCCAGATTTTTAAATTTCTTTTTATAATGGAATTTATGATTGACTTATTTCTGCCAATGTAGGTATCTGCCTAAGTGGCCATTCTCACTTGGGATTTATCTGTAAATAAACCAAAATAGGTGTTCAGTATTTATTCCCTGTTGGTATATGTTATTTGTTAATGACAAGCATTATTGTTTATGAAACTAGTGTTTCATAAACAGTATTTATTGCCATCCTTTTTTTTTTCCAACCTGTTTATTGAACCCAGTGCCTCACACATGCTAGGTAACTGCTACATCACCACACTTGTTTTTTTTGTTTTTTGTTTTTTGTTTTTTGTTTTTTGTTTTAATAGGATCTCCCTGAGTTGCCCAGGCTGGTCTTGAACTTGCCTCCGCCTCCCTAATAGTGGGATTACAGATGTATACCACCATTCCCAGTACCATCTTTACATTTTGTTGGAGAGCTGTGTTCTCCCATCCCATTTTTGTGGTTTGTCTTAGTGGTGAAACTTGGTAAAGGTGTCAGGGGGTCTTTGCTTTACCAGGGAGCATTTCACTTGGGTGTCTTCCTCTTTTCTAACAAAACTACTGCAAACCACTTCTGACTTTGAAATTCCAAAGGTGTTACGCTTTGTGTCTTCATTTTAAAATGCCATTTCCAGGCTATTTAGAAGAATATGAGAATAGCACCTTTTGTGCATTTGTTTTTTCTTTGTTGTTTCTCCATTTGCATTCCCCCTCCCCCCACGCRTACCCAAAAAAACTTAGAAAATTTAACCTTATCTTCTAGCCATTCATTGACTTATGTATGTGTATATATATTTTCTAATCTTTAAATTTTAGCTTGGAAAAACTCCTCAGGATCTCTCAAAATTTTAAGCAGAAAATAAGCTCAGTGAGACTGAGGGGGAAATTTTAGAAAATGACATACATTTATATCATGAATAATCAATGGGCATTGGCAGTTTCCCTCAAACCAAATGGTTAATAAGGAAATTCATATAATTGCTAGAAAAAAGGCAGGATTTTTACTAGTTAAACCTCATTGAGATACAAAACTACCGATTCTTATGTTGCTGGAGCTTCCAGCAGATTTCTTAATTGAAGGACAGAAAATTCACATCCACTCAATGCCATTTGTTCAGAGCCCGGAGRAAAAGAGAGTGGCTTTGCCAGCAGAAAGGTTGGGAATTTGAGTGGTGGAGAGGGAAGGAGTTGAGCAGAAACGCCAGGAAGAACCAGGCAAAGGCATTTGGTGCCAGGAGCATCCACTTAGTTCTACAGCAGCCCTGGTGTTTCATCTTGGCTTATGCTGCTGAGAATGTTAGCTTTTGTGTCTGGCTAATTCTTCAACTTTTTAAAGTATATAGAAAGATGTCACTTCACATGCATACACTTTAAAATCTAAATTTATTCTCTTGCTAAAGTTTTTTTTTTTAGTACTGGGGATTGAACCCAGGGGCGCTTAAACACTGAGCCACAACCCCAGCCCTTTTTAATATTTTATTTAGAGACAGGGTCTTGCTGAGTTGCTTGGGGACTCACTAAATTGCTGAGGGTGGCTTTGAACTCACAATCCTCTTGCCTCAGCTACCTGAGCTGCTAAAGTTTTCATTATGACAGGAATTTCCCTACTTGCTGCCTCCATAACACATTTCTTTTATTCAGCTTTTGAATATAAGAGTTTGCCATAACTGTTTTCCACTCATAACATGGTATAAACCTGCATAAAGAGAGTGACTCCTCTTTGTCAAATTTATTAACACATTGATTCTACATTGAATCTGTGAAAATATTGTTCTGGAAAGTACAAGTATTTGTATCAAAAGTCTGCTAATAGTTTTGTTTTTTTCTATCAAAATCATATTGTGGGCTGGGGTTATGGCTTAGTGGTAGTGCACTCGTCTGGCATGCGTGAGGCACTGGGTTCAATCCTCGGCACCACATAAAAATAAATAAATAATCATATTATTTTAAATTGCTGGATAGGACATGCTATGTCGTGATATTTCTCCTCTAAATGGAAGTTAAGTACTCAGTCCTTCACATTGTTAGAATCGGGATAGGAACAATAACATGTTTATATTCCTTAATGTACTGGTGCATTTATTCAGATGTTATGTGTCCACACCTGACATTTTGTTAAAATCTTTTATTCAGAAGAGATTTGCAAAAGGAACAGGCATCTTAGTTCAAATTTGAAGGGAGAATTAGATAACATTTTCCCCTGAAGAAATATTAATGTTCACTTTGTGGCTTTGTCTTTGCTTATGACTTCATTTTGCCTGTTTCCATATTTGTTCATTTAAAACCACAAGCGTATTATTTCAGTTGAAGTCAGTTTTTCTGGTAATTTTCCTTAACCAATTTGCTCTTGATAACAATGAACTTTGCCATTCTAAAATGGCACTCACAGTTCAGGTCTTTTGCATATCTGTGTCTTTTAGAGGGCCACCTATATCTTTAAAGGGAGAAAAATCAGTATTAGTAAACTTAACTGTCAGTTCTTCACAGTTTGAAATCAGGCAGATCACTTTTCCAAGTTCAGGAGTCACTTGCCTCTGAGTGTTAGCCAGTAGTAACCTCTGGTAAAAAGTGTTCAAAAAATCAACTATCAGGTCTTGGGTGTAGCTCAGGAGGGTAGAACACTTGCCTAGCATGCATGAGGTCCTGGTTTTGATCCCTAGTACCACAAAAAAAAAAAAAAAAAAAAACCCTCTTATTATTGGTCATTTGACTGAGCTTGGAGCTTCAGAACAATAGTGAACTGTGTAATGGTGATAAGGCATGCTGGAGTGCCCTTTATTGTGGGCCTCAGTGATGGTTTACAACACTTGATCCAAGCAGTTTATACCAAGAATGGACTTTTAAATATTCTTCTTCTTAGTCATACCTATGATTTACCCATTCGGCATTTAGATGTCCATGCTGTATGCTTTCTGTTTCATGTAAGAGGCATTCACTTCTAAAAATAACACCTCTGGGTGATGATAAATTTTTGGCCAGCCAGCATTTGGTAAAAGGCAAGTATATTATACTTGAACTGACTTTAATGAATACCTTTTTTTATTTATAAATCAAAGATCTTTCCCAGCTGTGAAGAAGATACCTGAAGGCAAAGATACACAGCTGCTGGTCATTTTGATTGGAAGGTTCCAGGTATTAGATTAATTTTATGTGTAAAATCATGTAATCTCTTGAAGAATCTTACCACCCTATAGTGATAAATCCCCTTTACCTATACAGTGCAGTTTCGAAATAAAATTTCAGCCTACCTACATGTCATAAACCTGTAATAATTCAGTTACCATCAAATGTTAGAATCATTAGGTTGAATTACATACTTATCACTCATTCTAGCCTCACATCATGGAGACTTTTTAAGATTTTCATTTGCTGTTGTCCCTAATGTAATCTTATGGCTTTGTTGTTTATAATAACAAATTAAGTGGCTTTTGTTCATGCATATTCCATATTAAAGAAGAAATTCTCAGTATTCTAAAATCCAGGTRTTCCACTGCAGTGCAAAAGCAATACAGAGATAAAAAGTAAGTTCTGCCTTTTAGGTTGGCTTGTTGAACCAGACAAAGACAGATGGCTATGTTCTTCCCAAGATTGAAAAAAAAAAATTAACTGTTCTCTCAATTATGTTTTCTTTAGCAAATCTCCTACAGAAGTCTCTACCTCAGTCATTAAGTATTGTGATATGATTAGCATATTGATACCAGAAAAACTTAGCTAGGACTTCCAACTTTTAAAGAAAATTTAAATGTAAAATTCAACTGTTAACYAGGAATCAAATGTCATGTGATGTGCAGTTTGGATATTGCATGAACAGCTAAGGATTTACCTGTTTCATTGCCAAAGATGATTTGTCATTGATTTTGTTCTGTACAGTTTATGTAAAACTTTCATGGTAGAGACAGGCTCTGTGCTCAGGGTCTTGTCTCTGGGAAGATTATGTCAGTTTTATCAGTTCCAAATACAGTTTAGAAGATTCACTTGTGGTCTGTGCATCCTTTCTCAAAACTCGAAGCCCTTTGAAAACTAGGCTATCAGGAAATTTCATGGTTGGCATGTATACCATTCTTTGTATTAAATTGTTTCCAAGAACTTAATGGTTTACACAGAAAATCTGATATGAAAATCTCTTCTTGTACATTCACCTGTAAGTTGATCTTAGTGGGAATACGCGAGCAGAGAAACTTCCAGCTAGAAGTCTGGCCTCAAAAGAGGCCCTTTTGCATAGCAGGGCTGGTGCTCCTCTGGGTCTAAGTGGATTGGTGGTTTACTGTCACAAACTGGGAAGTACTGGTGGTCTCCTAGAGGAGGGGAAGGCTGGAGTCTAAGCTTGGGTGCTGGGAATGCCCTTGTCTCTGACTTCCTTTGGTTCTGAGAGGCCTTTTCTGGAGGAAGAGTACTTTCCCCACCTAGGCACAGCCTCATCCACCTCTGAAGGGCGGTGCGGGTGTGGGTGAGGGGAGCGGTTATCCTTAGCCGAAACAAGACTCTGTTCCCAGATATAGGATAGCTGACTGGTAGGTCTCACACACCCCACCCTCAGCAGCAAAATTGTAAACTGGTCAGCTAACCATATTTGGTAATAAACTTGTGAGCCATTTGAAAGCTCTTTGGGCAGTTAAATCACTCCTGATTCTTAGTTTTAAAAGTGTATTATTTGGTAGATTTGCCATCAGAACAAATACCTGGAGAAGGTATTGGTATCAAAACTAAATCTCTGCTCTGTTTTTTACACAGAGCTTAAAAGCTTTTTTAGGTTTTATTAGACATGGCGGTGCACACATATATGGGTATATAACCCAGGGACTTGCACATGCTAAGCAAATAGTCTAACATTGAACTATGTCTCCCAGCTCTTAATTTGTATTTTATTTTGTATTTTATTTTGAAACAGTTTCACCAAGTTGCTAAGGCTGGCATTGAACTTCCTGCTCAATCTCCTGAGTCACTAGGATTGCAGATATGTGCCACCACACCTGACTTACAAAATTTTTTTTTTTTTTTTCAAAAGAAACTCTGTCTTTATTTTTTTTTTCAAAGAGAGAGTGAGAGAGGAGAGAGAGAGAGAGAATTTTTAATATTTATTTTTTAGTTCTCGGC